TGATTGCCGTACTTATATCCTTACGGACAATTTATGGCTCTTACTTCACTGATATTTTATGGACTTTATATATTCTCACTTTTATGCTGCACTTTACTGTTTCACATTTATTGAATGATTTATTGAACATTTTTTATATTTGATTTTTATATGCTGCACTTGACTGTTCCACTGATCAATTTTTTTTTTTTTTTCGCTATATATCAGATTGACTTTCCACTTTATTTTCACTATAGTGCTGCACTGTTTTGAAACTACTCGTGGCTTGCTTGAACTAAGCTCAGTGGATACTAAGGGGATGGTAAGCAGCTGATTACCTGGGTATATATACTGCTGTTTATCAATCTGGCTACTATGGTAACTGTGTGTTTATGGAGCGAATGTTGCAATACTATATGGCCTAAATTGGCTTACTAATGGGACATTTCCACCCAGATTGCTACTGACCGGTAAGCCTCAGTTTACAAATGTAACAGGACTTTCAAGAGATCTATGATTACTCATTACATATGGCTACAGCACAACTGGTCTCCAATCTGACTCCTATCATTATCACATGGTACAATGTTGAGTGATAACTAATTATACTCCTATATTCAATATTTTGGTCTATCACCCCATGTGTTTCACATTGTACCGTTAACTCTTCTAGCTCCCCAAGTGTGTATGTTTGAGGTTGAATGAGCAGCTGCTAAGGTGACTAGACAACCAGGGGCGTATTTACCACAAGGCAAACAAGGCATTTGCCTAGGGTGGCATTTTTCAGGGGGGCAGCACTGCCCCCGGAAGAAGGGATGGTAGAAAGGACACATGTGGGATCGAGAGAGGTTGCAGGCTGCTTGATGGTGTATGGAGAGCCCGACTCTTGTTCCCAGGGATGTCTGGAGCTGTGAAGGTGAGTGTCTATCTCTCTCTCTCGCTGGGGGAGGGGGGGGTGTTAGTGGAAGGCTCTTTTAGGTGGGGTGTGGGCAGGGGTGTTGTTGGTCATTTTCAGGCTCTCTCCGTGGGAGGGCACCCGATTGTGTTGCCTAGGGCAGCACAAAACCTAAATACACCACTATAGACAACATTGTCTTTTTAATTTGGTGGAGTGAAGGTGGTGGTGTGCTCAGCTTCTTTGTGTATATTTGTGCAATGCACGTTTGTTTTTTCTAATAAAGCCCTTTTGATTAAGCTGCAGGCAGGTGTGAATGAAATCTTATCACAACACTTTAGGAAATGAATCAATATAAAGCTTGCAGAAAACAATGATCTACAATGAGCACAGAAAAAGTTTCCTATCTAAAAGTTATCAAATGTATTTTTTTGGATTCAGCGGATAGTCAACCAAACGTAAGTAGTGTGCATAACAGCAGGACAACACAGGTTTACCAAACAGAGACTGAATGTAACATTTCACAGTGTAATGCTGAAAAATAGGATAGAACATTCACAATTCTAACATCTTAGAAAATTGAACAAAATTGCTTGGGTTTATTGGAATTAAGCATCAAATACAAATGTCAAACAGTATATATCAAAATTAAGTATCCATGAACCTTTAGTGACTTTGTATGCCAGATATTAGGATCTGTTTTAGACAAAATGGTGCTCTGCATAAACGTTCCCAATGCACTTTGTAATTATATTTTTAAGGTATGCTTGAGTCAAATGTGAAACTTTAGAATTTAAGCTTCTTTAAAGCACTTAGTCTGCCGAGTGGTTCTAATTTTTGTTTTGGCATTTTTTTCAACTGGCATTTTTTTGTTCATAAAGAAAAACCATGATAAGTTTTAATCACTCCCCACTTTATCCAAAACAAAAAAAAAGTTTTAGATTTAAATATATATTTTAATGAATACATTGATCTCTATGATTGCTAGTTATGAGCATGGGCAGGGCTGGGAAGGTATGCAGAAGAGGCAGTAATACAATAAAGAATGTGCAGCGCTAAAATTAAAGTGTACAAAAAAATGTAAAGTGAAAATTCATATGATAGAAATTCATGCAAAAAAAATTCATACAAAAGAAATACTATAAGTAATTACATATACTTTGTGAATACAATCTCAGCCACACTAAATGAAATAAAGTATAAATACACTACTATGGTGAACAGTGTCCATGCAAGGTTAAAAAAATATAAATGTGCAAAACAGAAGACAAAATCAATCAAGGCCTTCACAACTTGTGCTCCACTGTAGTGTCTATCAGGCGTGCTCTCTCTTCCATGCACAATCCTCCACCAATATGCACCGACCAGAATTTAAGACACGTAGAGCTTGATCAAACACTCCAAAGCCGCAAAGACCTCCCCAGATCGCTCTTCAGCATGGATAAAAAGATATCTGCCTGTCAGGGAATCACTCCCCAAACAGAGCCCAGAGCAAAGTGTATATAGTGTGGTGGGTAGCTCAGTGACTAAGTGGTTAGCACTTCCGCCTGGCAGTACTAGGGTCACCGGTTCAAATCCCAACCACAGCACCACCTGCCTGGAGTTTGCATGTTCTCCCTGTGCCTGCATGGGTTTCCTCCGGTTTCTCCAGTTTCCTCCTACACTCCAAATACATGCTTTTAGGTTAATTGGTTCCTGTCTAAATTGGCCCTAGTATGTGTATGTATGAATGTGAGTTAGGGACCTTAGATTGTACACATGAGGGTTAGGGACCGATGTGAATGTACAATATATATGTAATGCGCTGCGTAAACTGATGGCGCTATATAAGTACCTGAAATAAATAAATATTCATTAAAATTAAATTACCAATAAACAATATAAAACCAGCATCAAGAGAAAAAAATCTGTTCAGACTTACAAAGATGGCTGCCGCTCCGAGGTCCAAACATGGCAGCGTGATGTCAGCACGTAAGGCACCTCCAAATGTGTTTCTTGCACAGGCACATCTTCAGGGGATACACCAAGGGGCAGTAACCTTGTGTACTTGATCAGGAGGGGGTTGCAAAAAGGACAGGTTGTGAAAACTATTCTGCTGAAGTAGTTCATGGCTCATGTAAGGGGGGGGGAGCTTTGGCTTTTTCACTAAAGAACCTTGTCCAAGCACTGGCCATGGACATTTTCAGAATCCACATGACCTTCTCATGTATTGTATCTCCCAAAGTGGATATAACTCAGAAACACAATCATTTTTTTTTTAAAGCTCAAGTCTAGTCAGGAAATTCCCTCAACCAAAATGCAATAGTTACATAGTTAGTCTGGCTGAAAAAAAGACAAAAGTCCATCTAGTTCAACCATTAAAGAAAAAAAATAATAAGTTATAATCCTATACCCACAGTTCATCCAGAGGAAGGCAAAAAACCCAGCAAAGCATGATCCAATTTGCTGCTGCAGGGGAAAAAATTCCTTCCTGATCCCCCGAGAGGCAATCAGGTATTCCCTGGATCAACCTTACCTATAAATGTCAGTATCCAGTTATATTCTGTGTATCTAAGAAAGAATTCAGGCCTTTTTTAAAGCAATCCACTGAGCTGGCCAGAACCAACTCTTGAGAGAGTCTATTTCACATTTTCACAGCTCTTACTGTGAAGAAACCTTTCCATGTTTGGAGATTAAATTTCTTTTCCTCCAGACGTAAAGAGTGCCCCCTTGTCCTCTGTGATGACCTCAGGGTGAATAACTCTACACCGAGTTCACTATACGAACCACTGATGTATTTATACATGTTGATCATATCCCCCCTTAATCTTCTCTTCTCAAGAGAGAATAAATTCAGTTCCTCTAATCTTTCCTCATAGCTGAGCTCCTCCATGCCTCTTATCAGTTTGGTTGCCCTTCTCTGTACTTTCTCCAGTTCCCCAATGTTATTTTTGTGAATTGGTGCCCAAAATTGAACTGCATATTCCAGATGAGGTCTTACTAATGATTTGTACCGGGGTAATATGATATCTCTCTCTCTGGAGTCTATACCTCTTTTAATACCAGAGAGGATTTTGCTCGCTTTAGAAACTGCAGTTTGGCATTGCATGCCATTATTAAGCTTGTGATACACCAGAACTCCCAGATCCTTCTCCACCATTCCCCCAGTTGTAATCCCCCTAGTATGTATGATGCATGCATATTCTTAGCCCCCAAGTGCATAACCTTACATTTAACAACGTTAAGCCTCATTTGCCACATAGTTGCACAATTAAGCAGTGTATTGAGGTTGGCTTGTAAATTGGAGACATCCTGTAAGGACGTTATTCCACTGCACAGCTTGGTGTCATCTGCAAAGACTGAAATGGGATTTTTAATCCCAGATCCTATATTGTTTATAAATATATTAAAAAGTAAGGGTCCCAACACTGAACCTTGGGGTACACCACTCACAACCCTAGACCATTCAGAGTATGAATCATTAACCACTATTCTCTCAATACAATATTTTAGCCAGTTTTCTTTTTTGGATCATATCAATTGTCAGCCAATGTGGATCATCTGGAGCTGTGTCAATGCCATGCCCAATACCTCTACCCTCCTCTAGCTATTTGCCTCACTAATAAAAAAAAAAAAGACATTAAAATAAATGCCTACATTGGCAGTCAGATGATGAGCCTATAAACTTTTTAACTGCAAATTGAGAGGGTTCTTCTTCAGGTGCCCACATCATTGCTTGATATGGATACTTTCTATTGGGTCCATAGGGTACTTATAGAGACTCCAGAGGTGATGTAGTGACATCACAACAAGGGTCTGCTATAAAACTAGTTTGTGGCAGGCAGATTGCAGGGGTGGAAAACCAGTTTTCATGATCAGAGGAGGTGCATGTAATAGAGGATTCAGGTCAATTAAAAATGTCTTAGCAAGGGTTTTCTTTTTAAAGAAGCAGGACAGCACCTGGAAGTCGGTGGAGATGACTGTTGTAGTGGTGCCTACCAGGATCCAACAGATATGGCATATCCAAGCTGGTCCGAGCTGAACCAATGTTACTATGAAAAATTGCCATACCTGGAATTCAGTTTTCAAAGGTATGTATGTAAAAAAGTGCTGCGAAATTTGATGGTGCTATAGAAGTACCTGTAATAAATAAATAAAATAAATAAATAAAGGAAATTGTAAGGAGGTGGGGTGGTTAGGAAGGATAGTGGAGTTACAAGTTACGTAACAGATAACCTCCACCTGCTTTCTCTCAGCTTTACTTGACACATGTAAACATTGGCAAATCAAACTTGGAGTCACTTGCCAAGAGCTAAGTTCTCTGATTTGGAAGAAAATCTTCTCCTCTTACTTTTTTAAAACAGCTTTTTAAGTCCTTTGTGTGACAATTAAACACTTTAGATGGAAGTATTTTTGTTTATTTTGCTCTTAAATATTTGAATTTTTCTATAGTTGGTGAATGAAATGTATTTATGACAAAATACACACACAAGAGGTGAAACATTTTTTTAATGGCAAAAGGCTGAAATTAGAGAAATTAGGTTTGTACAGCCACACTGGTGTTGATGCAGTGGTGTATTTTGTTTTCCCTAGGCAACACAAAAATTGGCTGCCCCCACCTCCAACCCCCCTGGCCGCCCTCTACTCCCCTCCACAGACACCCTCCAGCAGCCTCCAGCCTATTGCAGATGACTCACCTGCTCTACACCATCCTCCTCCGTTCCAGCACTCACCGGCACAGCTCGCAGAATGACATCCACCAGGCACCGCCGAAGTTATGATGAGGACTAGCAAGGAGGGTCTGGCACCGTCCAGTCCGCCATCATGGATCCCAGCTCCTGCTGTTCCTCTGCCTCCACTGCTCCACAGTCACTGGCTGGCACCGTGTAACTTATGCTGGGGGGTGGTACCACCCCCCCCGGAAAAAATGCCACTCTAGGCAAATGCTTTGCTTGCCTTGTGGCAAATATGTGGCAAATATTCCCCTGGGTGGAAGTACTAAAGGAAAAAAGGCTGTTCACCTAGCAAAATGAATGTTAGAAGTGTAATCAATTTGCAAAGTGAATGTTTAGTATATAACAGGGGTCTTGAATTAAAATTTCCTTCCAGCAGAGGTCCGAATCTTGTTAGCAATATAACACATCACAGTCCCCCAGTACCTGTCACACTGTAGTCCCCTCTACATTACAGTCCCCCAGTACATTATAATCTTTAGCGTACCTTTCACACTGTAGTCCCCTCTACATCACAGTCCCCTCTTTAAAGGTCCCACAGTGTCCTCAGTTCCCCTTCACATCACTGCCCCCCTTTGCATCGCTCTGCCCCTTTACATATTACAGTGTCCCTTAACACAACACAGTGCCCCTTAACACAACATAGTGCCCCTTAACACAGTGCCCCTAACACAAAACAGTGCCCTTTAACACAACACAGTGCCCCTTAACACAACACAGTGCCCCTTAACACAACATAGTGCCCCTTAACACAACATAGTGCCCCTTAACACAGTGCCCCTAACACAAAACAGTGCCCTTTAACACAACACAGTGCCCCTTAACACAACATAGTGCCCCTTAACACAGTGCCCCTAACACAAAACAGTGCCCTTTAACACAACACAGTGCCCCTTAACACAACACAGTGCCCCTTAACACAACATAGTGCCCCTTAACACAATACTGCGCCCCCATCACAACACAGTGCCCCTTAACTACTTTTTTCTCCTGAGGATTTACCCCCCCCCCCCCCCCCCCTTCCTGACCAGGCCATTTTTTGGATTACGGCACTGCATTACTTTAACTGACAATTGCGCAGTTAGTGAGTGAGAGGCCCGGAAGAGGATTCCCAGCCATGGCAGTGGCATGACTCCAGTCCGGACAGGACTGTTCCTCTGTCCAATTCTGGATCGCGGTCCGCCATTTAGTGACCAATGGTATATAAGATGAAGTTATAATTACTTTGAATATTCAGTCATGTGCTTGTAAAATCCTGTTTTTTATTTTTTTTGCACATAATTGGGTGCTGAAGGTAAACTCAGCTTTATCATTTTGATAACATTCACTTTGCAAGCAGACTATTCACATTGCTAGGTGCAGTTGCTATTTCTTTAGTAAATCATCCCTATTGCCATGACAATCAGCACTTTCTGGAGTAACTGAAAGCTCACCTAGCTTGGTGAAGTTGTGTTAACTTCAGTTATCCAATCACATACAAGTAAAAATCCTGTTTTCTTTTTATTATATTATTATACAGGATTTATATAGCACCAACAGTTTGCTCAGCACTTTACAATATAACGGGAAACAATACAGCAACAATACAGTTCAATACAAGAGGGATAGGAGGGCCTGATCCTTGGAGCTTACAATCTAAGATATTCCCATGCACATGATTGGGTATTCAAAGTAATCAAAGTTTACCTATTTGCTGAAAGTAAAATCCCAGTTCCAGCCATGCCCTAGCCCTCCCCTCCTCCTGGAGGACCTGCCCCCCAAATGTATTTTTTTTAAATATCTTTTTTATCCTTTTCGTTTTCAGAAGCCCTCTGCCCCAGCACCCATGATCCTCTTCCTCTTTACCATCTGTCCAGCACAATAACAGCCTTCAATAATGCAGGAACAGGGGCGGACTGACCATTTGGAAACTCGGGCACTGCCCGAGGGCCCGGGGTCAGTAGGGGGCCCCATGAGATGCCCCTGGTACCTTTTTCATAGGCTTTTTTTTGAGTTTGGGCAAGGACACAGGGGCCCCATGATCCCCTATTGCCCGGGGGCCCTATGAGTTGTCAGTCCGCCCCTGTGCAGGAAACATTACTGAAGGAGGCAGGTATTGCTGCAAGTGCTGCATTTTTATTGGAGTAGGTCCCAGGGGTGGACTGACAACTCATGGGGCCCCCGGGCAATAGGGGATCATGGGGCCCCTGTGTCCTTTCCCACACTCAAAGCACACCCAAAAAAGCCTATAAAAGGTACCAGGGGCATTTCATGGGGCCCCCTACTGACCCCGGGCCCTTGGGCAGTGCCCGAGTGTTCGAATAGTCAGTCCGCCCCTTGGTAGGTCCGTAAAATTTTAAAATAAAATCTAAAGCTGGAATTATGCTTTCTAAAGTGTATATTCTCTACTCCTTTAGGAAATCAACCCCATTGAGTTTATATTATAGTAATGGCGTAGGTTTGCTTTACAGCAGATAGTGCCCACAGAATTAACTAAACCTCTGCATATAGGAAGAGTTCTATGTACTATGTAAGCCTCTGCAGTATATTGGAGCTTTGTACATAAATAAACAGATTTGTTTCAACTTTTGACTTTTAATATGCTGTTTTTCTTTCTTCTAATGTGTATGATTACTAGTTTAAGATGTGTTTCAGCCAGAACACTGAAGACACATTTTCTTTGATGTTCAGGATAGATTTGCTCAAATCGTATTAAGAGACCAGTTCTACAAACTACCATTTGCATGCAATGTCTCCAATCCATTAACATATGGTTATCAGAACAAATGTGTGTTTCTTTGAAGCCTACCTATTAACTTTCCAACTTCAGTTTATGAATGAGGTTGCAGATTTCATAGGGATACATTCTTAAAAACCATTGCTGATACACACGCAAGCTTTAATCCATTGGTTTAGATTACAGAAGGCGGACAGAAGACAAGAGAAAGAAGTGAGCACCCTAAGGGTGGACATAGACGCTTTAATAAAAGCATGCCATGCAAGCGCTGTTTATTGTGACAATTGGGCTGCGCAGAGATTCAGTAACAAGTGCTTTTGATCAATAGACGTCTCGGAAAATCTAATTGTGACATTAGAGGAAACTTTTCTTTGTTTAATAGGGAAAAGAAAAAAACAATAATGATTAGTTAAGGATATTAAAGCCCCAAGGGCTTATTTACCTTTATTTGTGTTTTGTTCATCCTGATGAAGAGTCTACTAAAGCTGGCCATAGATGGATTGAAATTTGGCTAGTTCAGCAGAAAGTGGACGAATTTCAATCCATCCTCCCATTCATGGGAAGTTGATCTAATAAAACTTGTCGGAAAGGTTTTGTTCAACCAGTGCTGCAGCCAATCAGCTACAGAGCTGAACCGTGCATTCTATCAACCGAGGAGTCCCAGCCGTCACAATACAACACATTCTGGGCAGGTTTATTTATCACTGCAGAGCTTTACATATGACAGAGCATTCCTCTATCTACATTGCTTGTGTGGATGGGAGACTCCGTTCAGTTTTTCTAATCAATCCCCTGGCTGATCGAAAAAGTACTGACTCATGTATGCCCAGCTTAACAATCATTATAGCAGTTTTGTGTCTTTTTGTATTTTCAATTTTAGAGCAGATCTTCCCATTTAAAAAAAAAACAACTTAATTATAAGGCTAGGTTTACATTTGTAGTTGAGCTAGTAAAAACACATGGCTGAGCCAGCATTTTTACTACTCTAACCACTCCACCTGAAGCTGCAAAGCAGAGAAAGTGAACACATCCCACAGGCATGAAGCTTTACATCATGGCACACCAAAAATGAACTGAACGGGACCAAACTGCAACTAACCAACAATATAGAGATTTGAAGACTAGCCAGCAAAGGGAGCTCCTAACGGCATAGCACAATTACTTTGCCTCTCTCTTACCAACTGCTGAAATAAGATATTGGCAATGCATGAGGCATTGTTTTTAATGAGTTGGCCAATCCACAGACTTGCCTTGTGAGAGCAGTAAGGATAGTCATTGGGCTTGCTTTATTAAAGAAATGCACAAGAGACAGGAGAAAATCTTTGCATGAGCGTTTGTACATCAAGCAAACGTAGTCTCTTAACCTGCCTGCTACAATAAACACTCATGTTCAATGCATGTGCTGCAGTCTCAGTTTGCAGTGTGCATTGAACATAAAACTAATGTTGTTTCTGTGCCTCAGCTGTCAGACGGCAGGAGCCTTTGCTGGGACCAGAGGTTTTCTTTATTTCTTTTTTCGGGTTGGCGGTGGTGGCGGATGTCATGATTGGCGATGGATCCACACCGGGGAACATTTTTTTTTCTTATTAAAGGACTTTTCAAAAACTGCCTACTGTCTTTTTTTAAACTACACTTTTTTTGGAGAGTGACTAGGGGTACAATGCATTGTGTAAAAAGGCTGTTTGATCCTGACTTCTCTGCTCCTTTCATTGTTCCCCCACCTCTTATCTCATGATAAGACAGACTGAACCATAACCATTCTGCACATGCTCAGTTTAGTGTGTTGCTAGAGAGGTTTTTTTTTTTTGGGGGGGGGGGTGCATGGTATCAGCACAGGGCCAATCAACACGGTCCAGGCAGAGGTCAGGGGTCCTGCATCCTCTTACAGCAGAAAGAAAACTCCTCTTACAAGCTTTAACCACAAGACTGCTATATATACTGCTGATAAGAAAAGGTATTTAGCAGTTAACATTCACTAAAATAATTGCACTTCCATGTTCTCTGTACTGTAGGAGACCAGATATAGTGAATGCAGGGTCCTGGGTTACGTAATACTTCATGCCTTTACTACCACCTTTAAGTGGTTTGTCTCATCCATATAAACTGATACATTCTGCTGGTGAGCTTGAGCTTTAGCAAAAACAGCAGACTTGCTGGATTGATTACCAGTTGAAAACAAAAGAAAAGCCTAAAAAAGAAAACTAATACAGCCATCATGAGTTGGTAAGTTGCAATACAATAAAAGTTCGATTTGGGGTTTATTACTGCTTAAAGCGTTACTAAACCCACAACAGTAAAATCAGCCTTTATATGCAGTAAAGTATGCTTGTTATACTCACTGTGGAACCAAAGGGGTAAATCCTCCATGGGGTTAATCCTCAACATTGTGTAAAAAGGATGTTTGATCCTGTCTTCTCTGATCCTTGCCTTCATCTACTGTCCCCAATTCATCTGTTGATAGAACAGAGCCTTGAGAATAAGCTGCACATGCTCAGTTTGGTGTGTATAGCTAGAGAGTTTTTTTTTTTTTTTCTTTGGGAGGGTGCATGTGATCGACACAGGACCAATCAGCACTGTCCAGACAAAGGGTCAGGGGTTATGAAAATCCTCCTACCAGATTAACCAGTGCTCGGATGGACAGTGGCAGAAGTCACAAGACTGTTAGGGCTCGTTCACACTTCACTGTTTTACCAACTCTTGCCAAACACCCCTATAGCATTTGGCAAGCGTTGGTCCGGCGTTGCGGAGCATTTTTTTAACGCGCCGCAAACGCCGCATGCGCGGTTCAGCGGCGGTTGCTAGGCGTTTGCCGAGCGTTAAAAATGACCCACAAATGCCTATAATGAAGTTTGGATGGTGTTACCGCTCTGCAAACTCCCCGCAACCACGTCACAACCACCGGGCGTTTCCGGAGCGGCACCATAGACTAGAAAAAGGAGGCTTCTACGCCTCCTGACTCGACCAGAGGCGTCCGTTTTGCCGCACCGCGACGCGACGCTACCGCACCCGTTAGAACAGCACCATGTGCTGCAATGGGCAGAATTGTCCGAGGCATTTGGGAAGCGGTAAAAACGGGAGACAATACAGCAACAATACAGTTCAATACAAGAGGGATAGGAGGGCCCTGCTCCTTGGAGTTTACAACACTATCATTTTATTTCTGTATATGCAGTAAAGCATGCCGGATCATGGACAAGGGAAAGGTCCGCAAGATCTTCAGAGTACATATATCCTCCCAGTAAGATCAAATTCAAGGGCATGTCCAAAACATGTGATAAAGCATTCCCCTGTCTGGCCCACATCGCCAGTAGGTGGGGTCAACAGTAGGAACACTCTGTGTAGTCCCTCTGTAACATTTAATCAGGAGCTTATATCCTGATTCCTGTATTGTCGAAGAAATAGAAGATTTGTGTTTTTACACACTTTTTTAAACACAATATAATACCCAATTTTTGGTAAAGTATAAAAAGATGATGTTATGATGAGTAAATAGATAGGTCAAGAGTTAAAATTGTGCACGTCTGTGAAATGGCGACAAATGATGGTACTTAAAACTGTCCATAGGTGAAGCTTTAAAAGCCTTTCCAGGTTATAAGTTTAGAGCTAATCACAAATTATGACCCTAAAATTATTACTCTCATTCCAACATTGGTCACAATACCTTACAGGTGTGGTACAATCACCATTTACATATGTGTGCCGGACCTACATGTGTGTTTGCATTTGCATGTATGTGTAGGGGAACAGGAGTGCATTTAAATGTCTTTAATTTATTTTATTTAAATGTATTATTTTGTTTTTTTTGTCTTTAACTTTATTGCTATCATAAGGGGATGAACAAGCCACCTTATGATAGCTTTAGGAAGTGACAGGTACTCTTTATGATGATATCTGGGGTCTCCCCTGCCCTTTAAAGCAGCTGACCAAACACAAATCATCATGGTTCTGAAACCAGTGGTGATGAGATCCTTGTCACTTCAGGGATCATTAGTCACAGAGGAGATCAAGGAATTCCTCCTTTCCTCCTTTGATCAAGGAATTCCTCCTTTGTCAGCAGCCAACCCAACCACTTACCATGATTAGGCAAATTTCTCCCTGCTAATTTCAATCACACTGGAGTTCTAATGTCATGCTACATTTGGTTGGTGCCATTAACGCCCTTCTCTTTCTGACACAGCCCCTCCACCTCCACAGCCTTTTCTTCCTTTCTCCACACTTAATTGCTTCTCTTTAATTTCCACACCTGTTTTCTTACTGTTTTGCAAGGAATGTCCTGATTTTTGCAAATACCTTCCTCACTGTATTCATTGGGTAATGATGTATAGGTATCTGTATGCTAATTTGGTCTAGATCCATAGACCTC